CAAAATCGAAGTACACTGCATCCACTGGCTCTCTTTCCTCCAGCAGGAGAGTCCAATCGTTCGACAGTCTGATAGGAGAAGGTTAACAGTCAAGTGATCGATAATCCTATACCTCACAACAGATTCCATTACCTTACAAGCAACACTTATCAGACTAACAGGGCAATAGTTACCGGAGGGTACTCGTGTCAATTTTTTTTTGAACCATGGTGTCACTTGAGCTTCTTTTCAAGCGGACGGCAATGTTCCTTCGCTCAAGGTTTTTTGAAAGAACATTGCCAAAGGGCCGGCCAGGACGGTCTTAATTCTATGAGCAATCTAGGAGAGAATCCGTCTGGCCCACACGACTTTTTAGGATTCAGAACGACAAGGCGCTTGAAAACCTCTTCTTCGTGTATTCCAATACCTGTTAACTTCGAGCCTACTGGGCGCTCCTCAGTAGCTGGAATGCTGTTGAAGTCCTATCTGTGAACACACTGCTAAAGAACTGTTTAAGAACGTTAGCCATGCCCTCATCAGAGGATACCTTTTGTTGATCTAATTTCAAATCAGAAATACCGTCGTTTGTCTTACACTTCGAACTAGCGTGCACAAAGAAGGCTTTTTTTATTGCGGTCAGACAGCTTTTTTAGCTCGATTTCAAGCTCTTGCATACAGGTTATATTCAGCATCGCTGCGAGTTCGTAAATAGCGCTTGTAGGCTTCTTTCTTGATATTTGGCTTAGCTATAACCTATAACTGTACTGATAAAAGTCACAGCGGATGAACACTGTGACTTTTTGACTCCACCAAGCTTAATCTTAGATACACACGCATCAACTGCAGACATAACCGTGTCCTTGAGAACTGACCATGAATATGCAACATTCATGTCCTTAATACAGCCCGGAATATGCGCCGCACTCACTGCATTGAGTTTAATATAGTCACATTTCGCAAAGTTCAAGCGCTCACGCTTCCGAGGTGTCTTTTCTGGATAGCACTTAATACTGAAAATCACTAGTAAACATTAGATCTATAATATTTGGAGTCTTTTATCCCTAAACGGATTGGCTGGGTGATGTTCTGGATTTAAAATGAGTCTCGACTCCAGGTCAGATTTCATGAACAGGGATGCTGGGTGATTCCTATCTCTTGCAATGGATTCACCCTCCCAGTCTATTTCTGAATGGTTAAAGTCACCAATAATCAACGTATGCGACCTACTGAAAGTCATGCTCGGTAAAAGGCTACTTGGTACTTTATTATTATCAGAGAAACTGTTTGATGATCTAAACACGACGCCAATGAAGGTGCTATCGTTGCCTTTTTGAGAAAGTTCGCATCACACTGATTATCTGCAGATAACTTGCTATGCCCATGAAAGGTTCTTACCCACAAGCTACACCTCTATTGCATTGCCCTTCATTCAGGTTATGAAAACAATCAAAACCAGGAAACTGAAATTCTACAGGTATAATTCCCCCTCCCCGTGATTTTTTAGAAAAGGTTTCTGTAACACGGATAATGTCTATACCCTTGTATGAAATCACAGTTAACAGTTCACTTTTTTTGTTCAAAACGGAATCCGAGTACATGTAATAACACTTTAAACTTTTTGTGCACTTTTACTCTGATGTCTACAGTTACTTCTTACATTAACCGTGTGCGGCCGGTGTTGTCTTGACATCTTGAGAGTCGTTGAGCTAATTTTCCGTGCTTTTCCGCCAGATTCTCTCCTGCCATTTCTTGAAAAAATCTGCCCTCTCTAAAGGGGCGGAATCCTTCACAAAAAGGATTTGTACTCATCGGATTTTCCAAGCTTTCTCGCTGCTTTCAGCAATCTTCAAACTTGTGCAGGATCCTCCAAGTCACCAACAGAGGTCTACAGGTGTTGGCAGCAGCATCCATCGAGCGTAGCCTCTTGAACGACGTACAGTAACATCAATAGGTGTGCCGAGTGCCTTGCTACAATAGTCTGCAATAAATGCTGCATCAGCAACCACTTGGTCCTTCGTATCAGATTCGGTTCTTTCGGGAATACCAAACCACACAGGGTTAGACTTCCTACGGTCTCTGTCAAGCACTACGGTCTGTTAGCGACTTAGTATTATTATTATTCTATGAAGCAGTATATCGTGGCGTCTGGTTCAATCGAACTTGCAGACAAAAATGACTAAGCACTCGATTCAGGTAAGATGATTACAGACAAAAATGACTAAGCACTTGATTCATAGTCTCTACAAAATATTTCCGTCTTTAGGCGTCGACGAAACACCTGCAACGAAGGAGACGATGTTAAGGAAGCCGGCAGACTGTTCCAGGTTTAGGCGGCGGCGACCGAGAAAGCTCTGTCGCTGGCGGTGTGTATAGACGTGTAGATGGAACGACGAGGTCAGCTGTTGACGACGAAAGCAATCGTTTTCTAGAAGGCAGATCCGATACACGCTGCAGATATACAGTGAGATAAGGAGGCGCCAGACCGTGAAAACATCGGAACGTCACAAAAGCGACGTTGAATTACGTACGATGCTGCATGCGCAGCCAGTGACGATAGCGCAATATCGGTGTTACGTAATCGAATTTTCGCTCTAAGCGGGGATTTCGGATAAAGATCAACTCTGGTTTCTTACATGCATTTTTTCTTCATTTTTCATCCGAGCTTTCATTTCAGTCAACCTATTACCCAGCGAGCTCAATTTTTCACTCAACGATCGCACCATCTCACTCAAGGAGTTTAGACACTTATAATTTTATTTATCTTCTCGCGAACTTGCTATTGAGTTTCAAACAAGAATTTGTCTCAAATCATTTTTAATCAAATATCAACTTCATTTGATGAGAGAAACGGCTAAGTTGAGTGGAGCAGATAACACTGATGCCACTGTGACTTGCATAATACCAAACCATGGAATTACTTTGATGTTTCGAATCTAATCAACAACAAGCTGTGCTAAAAATCAACTGGTCGCATTGGTTGGTAACTTGCTTCGGTTAGTCTTATGGAGCCAACAGTCGAACACGGCATTATCAATTCAACTATTGATTGTTGTTTCTTTCTCAAGTCGTTTCATATTATTTATTATATTTTATATTAGGTCATTCTCGATTCTATGTCAGAATGAGTGACCCAATACTGTCGTCAAAACCTAAACCTTTTGTCGTCAAAAAATATACCTAATTCAAAATTATCGTCAATAGTTTTTAAATCCTCGCCGTCTGAAGTTCAAGCTCTAGCAATGACTCCGCATCCAACTCTGCCGCCAGCGTTGCCTGTGGTCTTGCTGGTCTCGTGTCCTCCTTGTCCCAAGTCGTCGCGACCCTCATGCACGACGAAGGCTCGTCCCACGACGCTGTTGGGTCCCACCAATGTCACCTGGTGGTCCGTTATGTCCACAAGGGCCTCGCCTCTCTCGTTTGCCACGATGTTACCCAAGTCACCGACATGGCGAACGTGGTCATGGGGAGCACCGTGCACGCGCTGCGCAGTCGAGTTACCAAGAGAGATTATACACGAGAGGAAATGCACGACAATGGGAAATAAATTTTTGGAGGAGGTTCTAAGGGAAAGCTCTATTGCAAGGTCGAAAAAATTATTACGGAACGGAAAAATCGAAGCGGTCAAAGGGAAGGGTATAAATTCATAGCTAATTCAATCAAAATACGATAATATTAATTTATCTTATTAGCAGATGGCCTACTGCCAAACGATTTCAGTCATGAAACGTGATGTGTTTCTGAATAACTTTGATCTCTGACAGGAGAAGCTGGAGGTGACATTACCATCGGTCATCTAGATACAGCAACGTTCAGCGCACGGCAGAATGTGAAAAAAAGATGTCAATACCAGCTGGACAATGGGATGGATGAGCAAGTGATCGTTAGTTAGGAAGAATGAGGTTTATGATCGAGTGGATGAGTGAATGTATGTGCCAGTGTGTAGTCAAAACAGCATGCAGGACGAGATGGATGAGCTTTTGTGGATCACCAGTATAGCTAAATGAGGTGAGCGAGAAAGCGGGTAGGCAGTATGACGGCATGAGGTAGATGAGCAAGTGGATTAACATTACAGCGGAATGAGTGGTACTGCAAATTGATTGCAAGTTTGTATTATCCAGCAACTCTAGAATACAGATCGGGTAAACCATATCAACACACGCAAGCGCGCAACAATACTTGAGCGCCAGATAGCACCGCACGTAAACAAAATGACTCAATTTGCGGACAATAATTCGTACAGCAATCATCCAGCATCTCTCAGTAGCCAAATAAAAGAAATTCACTAAATTAACCACAAAGTCGTACCTCGAAAGGGTTATAGTGGCCGCCGGTTGACTTGCAGCCCTCGGTGAGGTTGCCTGTCTGGTGGATATGGAACCCGTGGGGGCCGGGTGTCAGACCCGTGATGTGCCCCGTGATATGGGTCTTACCTATAGGTTGGCGAGTAGAAATTGGCGTTATTCATGTTTATGGATACAATATTACAGTAAAAGTTATCGTGCATAATCGTGGCTTCAAAGACAGCTTTGTTTTAGTGTATTCACATATCAGTATTGCACTGCTGTGGCTACAGTTACGCGCAGATTTATTGGCAACTTTCAACTCTAAATTTAAATATTGCACCTATGTCCAAGATACTGATGAAATATTAGTGTGCTTATATTAAAAT